CCGTCCCAAGAGAAATTTTTCTTTTGGATATGGATGTTGTGATTGTCCGTAGGTGGTAGATGGTCTCTGACTGTCGAACGCAGAGGTTCCACCCGGCAGCTCAGAAAGTTTAGAAATTGAAAGTACTGCTTGAGTGACGGAAAAAAACGAATGTTCCCAAGATCGTTCCGATTTTTTCCTGAAGTTATTTGTAGTGGGATCTCAAATAAATTGCACGTTAACATTGTCACTTTTCTTCCTCTGCAAGATAATAATGTAATTAAAATTTCGTCTCTTGTTCTCGAGCATCAACTTTATACAGGGTGACTTCGAAGTTGAGTCATTTATTTCAACAGTGAGTAGATCTGATCAAAAGAAATGTTTTTTTCCTTTGCCATTTTTCTGGTAAAATTAAAGTAACAAAGTTATAGCCCTTTGGAAGTTTGAGTACCGCCCTGTCTCAATAATAATATTATGTGCTCGTGTTTGGCAACAACGGATATAATCCGCCTTATCGGTTCATCGCATCGGAAACAAAAAAGCGAAAGAATTTGGAACGATGTTTTTACAATTTTATTCAGTTTTATTCAGTCAGTGTCAGTCAGTAACGCGTGAGTGAATAGTGGTGTTTGTTGCGTGGCTCAAACGAAATAAAAAATGGCACATGTTTACGAAAATGCTGAACTGGTGGACATGATTCTTATTCACGCGGCATCACGGATTTATGCGGATCGGTTTCCCAATCGAGTGCAACCAACCCCTCGTGCCTTTTGTTAATGTACTACAAAGGGCTCGTGAATCAGGTGACTTAAGACCTCACAGGGGAAGGCATGCCGGTGCTCCAAGACCGCACGATCAAATACAGGTCCGCACTGAAATACTTGTCGGGAGGATACTTTATAAAACAAGGTAACATTTTTTTTTTAATTTTTTTTTATTTTTACTCACATATTTTGGTTTATCTTCCTTCTACAATCATTATCTGAAAATTAATGACTCAACTTCAAAGTCACCCTGGTATAGATAAATAGAATTTTTATTCTGACTCCAAAAACGTATAATACGCCATACTTTGACATTACCAAACCTTGATTATTCCAAAAAAAGCAGAATTTCCTAGGTAGGTCTTGAAATTATCAGATAGTCATTTGTGTCTCATACCAGATTTATGCCAAAATCCAAGTATCCACATGGTCTACAAATCACAAACAAATTACACAATAACATTATCACAAGTTTTACCGTCTACACGCTGGCATAATTAAAACTTTGATCTGAGGCTTCAGCTCTCAGCATTTTGAAACTATACCGTTTTCGATTTTCTCCAGGATTACGCTTAACTAATATAAATGAGTTCCATATCTTGTTCCTCATTCGATGCGTTTAAATCAGCGATATGAAGTTAGGCAGTTGAAGTTTTATACTCGTATCAATAGGTAATATGTTGTCAACTCTGATATTCTATGAAATAAATGACAATAATGACAATTTGATAATTTCAACGCTTACTCAAGAAAAAATGTACGACACAACATATGACAGAGATAAAAAGTGTCAATGTCAATGTGCAGTTTATTTTTAAATCCTTATTCAAATATGTTCAGAAAAATTAGAAACGATTTTGGAAAAAATCGTTTCCTTTTTCGTGTATCTCTGGAGATACTGGAAGCGTCAACAGTTTTCAAATACATTTTCTAAAATATATAAACCCGTAAGACAAGTGTTGCTTTAAAGTATTGCAAACGACTGAATTCCTATTACTTAAAAAAGCGTCCCGTGCAATATTTGCATTTCAAAAAAGTAGTCCTAGTAGTTGTATATAGGTATCCATATGAATTATCAAAACGCCGTGGAAGATTCTATATAAATGAAATGCAAATACGAAGTGAAATATCAAACATACATAGTCATGTAGATATGATCTGTGAAACTTCCACCAAATTTTCTTTTTTTATTGGATTCACCCTCGACGTTTTCTCTTCTCTCCTCGAACGTGGTTCTTAATCTTTCATTTGTTCTGGAGCGAATAATACGGCGGGATGTTGTCCAGCGACAGTGACAATGAGAGTGATTTGTCTCTAGTACCCAAGTGGTAGATGTTTCGTTCTCTATCAAATCGAAAATACAGTACACATTCAGTAGACAGGAACTTAGAGAGTACCACCATATTTTCCTCGAATTGAAGAGACACAAGGAAAGATTACACACCTACATGAGAATGTCGGCAGATTCATTTGGTTACATACTCGACAAAGTTGAGCCTCTACTGGGCGACCGCAAGTACACCAACCTGCACAGTATAATCCAATTCTTGCGTAGGAACCAATCACAGCTAACCACACCCCCATGTTTCCTTCCTGACAGCCAGCTAAAAACAAAATATTTGTTCTTCCGTGCGCTCGACCGCGATGAAGCGAAGGTAGCAGCGCAGAATGCATAGTCGCCATGAACGCTCCCAACTTAAAACATGTTGTGTTGTGAGGAACCGATCATCGAGGTAACGAAGAAAGCATTGCAGTAAACACCTTGCACTATGAACATACCCTAAGGGGGGTCACAGTGGTGGCCACAGAATTCATATTCAGGAATATGTTTATCTTCCACCGAGCGATTCTCCATCAGGGAGGGGTGGCAGGCTTGGGGGTCGAGCAGGAGAAGATCACTTTCCCCTACATACGCTATTAACAGTATGTTTATAGTAAGAGATCTAATAAAAAAATAGTTTTACTATGTTCATAGCTATATTATATATTATGGGCCGATTACACAATTTAACAAACCATTACTCTGCACCAATAGGGTACGAGTACCAAACAGTCCGTCAAATATACCCAATCAGCCTCAAGATCTCTCCGTCAAATTTTTGGCAGCAAATAGCATCAAAGTATTCAAAACAAAACTCTGTAAAATATGAAGTGACAGTTTGTCATTGAAATGTTTTCAGTTTATTAAATATTATGAAATTATATAAAACTGATCCAAAATTTAAAAAAAAATGCTTGATGTCTGAGTAAAATCCACTTTTTTCAGTCTAGCTGAAGGTTTCTCCATGTTTATTGCAACTTTTGTAATCCATATTTGATTATATTAACTAAACATCACCTGCTGTGTGTTAATAGTTTATCCTACATTTGCAAACTTGCACTTTCAAACCCTTACATGAATAAGCCTTTTCAGTCAAATTTTAGTTAGGTGTTGCGTTTCAACACCTTCATACACTTCTTTCCAATTCCTCAACGACATTTTGACACCCCTGATCCGAAACTGTGTAAGATTTCAAGATTCATACATTCAATTGCAGTTGCAGATTTTTGTTTTGATTTCAGTGTATAATCAGTCCCACCATCGGTGATGGTACATGGTACACTCAACATAACCACGTATTTGGGGGTTAGTGCAGATTTAACGTGTACACGACAGTGTAATATGTAATTATGCACAAGAAAGATCTTGGAGGGAGCACTTTTTATACGGAAAATCCATTTTTCATAAATAACACAAGCTTAAAACAACAAAACATGGACTACAGTAACGTTGGAGAAGGAGAATATACCAAAGAAGACTTGACATTTGAAATTAGTGGCTCACAATGTTAGTGATGGGAAAATATATTTGCAATTAGTGGAATGCATTGGAACCATTAAAAAATATGAATTGACTCGTTTTTACGTTATCTTGACTGACAGACTGGAATATTTGCTCTGTTCCTGTACATATATTTTTTGTGGTATTATGGCATAAAGTAGTTTGTTCACGAACCAGTTCCTAGAACTGAACGCAACTTAATGAATCGAACTAGAAAGCACATCACTATTTCAAGTAATCCAAGAGGGGACAAATTGTGATTTCATAACACTAGTGATGGGAGAATCGAAAGCCTGAGATTCGCTTCTGTGGCTCAGAGATATAGTGTTTTCTTCTGATGAAACTAGCACAGTTTTTGTAGTAGAAGTAGAATACTCTACCTTAGTTAATACCGTTGATCCTAAATTTGTTTCCAAAACAACATTAAACAACTCTCATGTCGTGTCGCGTGCAGTAATGTCAATGAATCATATTTTTCGTTTCTTTGTCCTTTTCCGTGTTACTATGATGAATCATCGAAAAAAAACTAAAAGCAAACCACGAGCAAACAGCACGGCTGCATTCAAAGACGGAAATCAAAGCAGAACACAGTAGACAACACCAGTCCAAGTTGCTTCAAGTTCAGTATGTTTCTACAATGAGAGAAAAACTAGTTTAAAATGTGCACCAAAAAAAAAACATGAATAAATGAATTGGTTCTGTTATAAAAGAATTTGGAATATGCACCAGTCCAACACTGGCTTCACTGAAAGAAAACGCGATTGAATAGCTTGGTAATATTTAATAGTTTAGACCATACAAGGCTGATTCCAGTAGCTTCAAGTTGCCTCACATGTCGGAGATTTTCCACTTTCCCCGCGACCCTGGAGCCTGTGGTTCTCGATACTTGCTTCAGAAAGGTTTTTCACTCGCTTCACTGTTGGGTATGCTTATATATTTTAGTGGGGATCTTCAAATTTTTCAAAGATTTTTCAGACCTTTGGATGTTTAGAAATTCATCGATATCAATAAAAAATGTCCATAAAATACTTAAACCTGATTTCGACAAATGTTCCATGCGTGTCAGATGGAATTCTTATTTGAGCGTTCCTTTTGGTACCTGAGAAAAATCACTTTCCCCACTTGCAGTCCGGTGAGTCATCCAGTTATTTTCGTTCACCGATCAGTATGAATAAAATATCCCATCACTATCCAAGTCGTGACTCAGTGACTCCGTTCTTTGGTCAGAACAACAATGTTGCTAGACTTAGCGATTTTAGTATGCTTCAGCGACTTTTTTTTCGACTGGTCCGCTGGCGATTTCCAGCAACATTTTTGGCTACATTGGTAATTCCATTAAGGTTCGCCTTTTTACAGTTGAAGTCTTTTCAAGTGTCGAGAGCAGCTAATGATTGTGTTGCGCTATCTCCCCAGCCATCATACAATGGAAGTAGGAAGCTTCCTCTGTATATGTATAATATATATATATATATATATATCGATGGTGTCAAGGCAATACCTCGTATCTCCATTTTTTGATAAATTTGAATTACCCGCTATAGACAAAGAGCTAGAGAGCATGATAGTGCTGAACAATCAAGCGGTTCCTTTTTGGCTTGCATTTACCCATAATTCCCGCTCAAATTCGTGCAATACCTCGTATCTCTAAAAATATGGCGTCTTATGTAGAGTGTTTATGTGAGTGTTGATGCTTTAACGCAGAAAAATAAGGTGAGAAATCGTTTTATATTTGATTTAATTGTTGTAGGTATTAGTATATATATTAAACATGTAGTTGTATGACATATTTGGCAAGAAAAGTAGCAATTAATGTTGTTTCAGCTTGTATTATGTAGTTGTGGCAGATACGTGGCATTGAAATTGACAAAATATTTCTTATTTAGAAGATACAAGCTATTGCCTAGCGATACGAGTAGTTGTTTGTGTCAAAATATGAATTTGCATGTCAGATAAGTGCTTCTCCTTGCAATTTGTTATTTTTGTTATAGATCAAAAATTGCAAGATGCGTGGCAAAAAAATATTGTAAATGTGCCAAGCTGCGTCCTTGTCAAGCACAAGTAAGTTATAATTATTTATATATTAATAACAGAATGTATACCATAGGATTAGATGAAAGTTCCCATTGCTTTGATGTCTTATTTTCTTATCAGTTATGCTTTCCCTTCGTTTCTCTTACATTTTTATAATGCCAGAAAACATTGTGACGGCTAAAAATTCACCCTCCTCGCCCATCCAATTAAAGGTTTAAATATAATAATTATATAAATTACTGGATACTTTTTTTAGTTGGTCATGTGTGAAATAAATGAACAACTTTTTTCCTAAATCATAGTAGTACTTAAGGAAAAATTATCTCCTATAGGTTTTTTGATTGGAAAAATATTGTTTCAGATATTTCTCCAACTCAAGAGCAGCAAACTATGGATTTTGAAAATATAATAGACCAAGCAGAGATGGTTTTCGATAATACAGACAATAATGTGGATAGCAGACAAAATTTAGAGGAACCACGTAGTTCTAAATTCAGATTTTCTCGAACTACAGAATAGCACTATATCACACGCTTTCGAACTAGCAGTAGCCGAAAATCTGAACGATGGTTCTCCTACTACAAGTATGCCTGAAAATTTAGACACCAACCAACATGAAATAGTGCCATTTTCTGTACAGAATGTAATCCATGACATCAGCCTAGATGCTGTAAATAATCACTCAGTAATAAGTTCCTCAAGTGTGTTTGCCGATCAAAATGGTGTTTTAGAAGAGACAAGGGTACAGTGGGATATCATTTCCGCTAAAGATACACCTATTCATATAAATCAAATTTCAATGTGTCATTCCAACAGAAGCTCTTCGACAGTGGAAGACTTAGGAACAAATCCACCAATTATCATCAACGAAGAACCGAACAATAATTTCAGTTCACAGTCTGGGTCCAAACGTAAAAGAAATAAGGAACTTAGAATGAAGAGTATGGTTTATACAGGATTTAGGCGACCATGAAATAAAAAAAGAACGTTTCAAGATATAGAAAGAGAAGAGCGGAAACAAGGCGAAAGTTGTAACTCAGAAACCTGTAAGAACAGCTCAAAAAGAAAATGTAATGAAATCAGAGAAGAAGCACGAAAAGAAATTTTTACAGCTTTTTGGAAGAACCTGAGTTGGGACCAAGGGAAGGTATATGTCTGCAACCTTGTTTCAAGACAGGAGACGTCTAGAAAAACAAAAGATGAAAATTCTCGACGTTCCTGCTCCCTATATTATAGCTTGAATGTTGGTGATAAGCTCATACCCGTCTGTAAAAAAATGTTTTTGGGAACTCTGGGGCTTGGGGAATGGAGTGTAAAGAGCTGGGTGGAGACATCGCATTACGGTACACCTTCCAGTGGAGCAGAAACTAACAGTCGTAGATTACCCAGAAAATCCCAAAATGATTCATTTATAACATTTCTACAAAAATTGCCAAAGCTTCCTAGTCACTATTGTCGCAAAGACACTACAAAGTTGTACCTTGAACATGAGTTTTCTAGTTACTCAGACTTATATAAAGCTTTCGTGGATTATTCAAAAACTCAAAACACAGCACCAGCCAGTAGAAATACATTAATAAAGTGGGTACATAAAAAGAATATTGGTATATTCAAGCCTCGCAAGGATCGGTGTGATACATGTGTACAGTATGAATCTCAAAATCTAAGCCTAGAAGACTGGGAACAACATAGAACAGACAAAGAGAGAGCTCAAAAAGAAAAAAATGATGATAAAGAAAAAGCAATGCAGAGAGTCTGTCATGTTATTACAGTAGATCTGCAAGCCGTTAAAAAGTATCTTCAAAATGCAGCCCACATAAAACCAATAATAATTTATTCTGATGGTTGCACATATCAGAATAGAAACAGTACCATGGCAAATGCTCTGCTTAGTCTATCACGCCAATATAATGTGCAAATAACTCAAAAGTTCTTGATTGAAGGTCATTCTCAAATGGAATGTGTTAGTGTTCATGCTGTTATTGAAAGAAACCAAAAAAATAAGAACATCGAAATACCAAATGATTACTATCGTCTTACTGGAGAAGTGCGTCAAAACTCATTTCCTTATGAAGTCGTAACTCCAGATTTTACTTTTTTCAAAAACTATAGTGCCGATTTGGTCTACTATTCAATCCGCCCTGGTAAAAAATCCAATGATCCGACAGTCACGCAGATAAGGGCACTGCAGTATGAACAAGGCTTGATAACATACAAAATTAATTTCGACCAAGAGTTTGCAGAATTACCTCATCGTCCAAGAAGGACCCCAAACGACATAAACCAATTTCTCCAATTGTTTGAGCACAAACTGCCAATTGCAAAGAAGAAATACGATCATTTACAAGAAATAAAAACCAAAATTGGTCAAAATTATTGGCCATTTTATGACAGTTTACCTTTCAAATAGGTTTTTATTATTTTTATATTTCCTTGTTTCCTGTTCATTTTTTTACTGTAACTTGGATATAGTTTTTGTGTATCTTTTATTTTGTATTTTAATGGATTTGAGATAAAATTGTTCTAAAATCTAAATGGGTTTTCATTATAAGTACAATACCTCGTAAGTTCCAAAGTTGACGAAAAATTTTGTGCAATACTTCGTATCTCACATAATAATTACTAAATACCTATTTCTTAGAAGACAACTTAAAATAATAATTTTTTCGCTTGTTTAGAGGCCTAGAACAATGTTAAACTAAATAAAACACTTACAAGTATTAATTATTATGCAAAACATTGTCTCCTGAAATTTTGACATTTCGTAGGTACGAGGTATTGCATTGACACCATCGATATATTTTATATACTGGGTGCGCCATCTATTACTTCTTTTTACCTATAAGTTTATGTGTTACCATGTGAGTCAAAATTCATGTGGTATGCATAAATGAATTGTCAAAGGTATGCCTTTTACAGTCATGGATTCGTTTACAGCACAACAACGCATTTTGGTTATCCAAACTTATTACGAAAACGGTTGAAATATAAAAAATACTTATCGCAAACTTCGCACTAGTTTTGGCCGACATTGACGCACTACAGAGCTTGGAATTCGTTGGATTGTTAATCGTTTTCAGGAAACTGGTTCAGCTGAAGGTCGTAGATCATACCAACATGCTTGTGCTCGTGAAAACATAGCCGCAGTGAGTGAAAGTGTGCGAGAAGATCCAACCACCTCGACTAGGCACCGTTCGCAACAATTGGGAATTAGTGAGACCACTTTACGCCGGATTTTATACATTGATTTACACCTCCATCCATACAAAATCCAACTAACACAAGAATTGAAACCGGTAGACCATCAACAGCGGCGTGTTTTATCAATTGGATGCTGGAAAGAGGACGGATTTTCGGCCAAAGTGCTTTTTTCTGATGAGGCTCATTTTCACCTCAATGGGTACGTAAATAAGCAAAATTGCAGGTTCTGGGGGGCTGAAAATCCACACCAATATCATGAACAACCTCTACATCCTGAAAAGGTGACTGTTTTGTGCGGATTATGGGCTGGTGGCATCATTGGACCATTCTTCTTTGAAGATGCCGAAGAAAAGGCCATTACCGTCAACGGGGAACGTTATCGCGGCATGCTAGCAGACGTTTTGTGGCCACAATTGGATCGTATTGGTGCCGTCGATTTTTGGTTTCATCAAGACGGAGCAACGGCTCACACATCTCGCCAAACAATCGCCTTATTGCACACGAAATTTCAAGCCCGCATAATTTCACGAAATTCAGATGTTAGTTGGCCCCCGAGATCGTGCGATGTAACACGTCTTGACTATTTTCTTTGGGGATTTTTGAAAGGAAAAGTGTATGCGCATGGTCCCCGGACAATTCAAGACCTTAAGCGTAATATTCGGACTGAAATTGCGGCCATAGACCCGATTATTCTGGGAAAAGTCATTGAAAATTTTGATGTTCGGATGTTGGCCTGTAAACGAAGCCGCGGTGGTCACATGACTGATGTTATTTTTTATACGAGTACATAAATGGCATAAACTAACCTTTATTTATCAATAAAAAAAATTGATTTAACCTCGTAAAAAGCTTGTTGTTTTTTCAAATAGAAAAAAAAGTAATAGATAACGCACCTATACAGGGTGACTTTGAAGTTGAGTCATTAATTTTCAGATAATGATTGGAGAAGGAAGATAAACCAAAATATGTGTGTAAAAATAAAAAAAAATAAAAAAAAATGTTACCTTATTTTATAAAGTATCCTCCCGACAAGTATTTCAGTGCGGACCTGTATTTGATCGTGCGGTCTTGGAGCACCGGCATGCTCTCCCCTGTGAGGTCTTAAGTCACCTGATTCACGAGCCCTTTGTACTACATTAACAAAGGCACGAGAGGTTGGTTGCACTCGATTGGGAAACCGATCCGCATAAATCCGTGATGCCACGGCAGCATTTTGTAAAGACTCCACCCCCCGTAAATAAGAATCATGTCCACAATTTCACCATTTTCGTAAACATGTGCCATTTTTTATTTCGTTTGAGCCACGCAACAAACACCAATATTCACTCACGCGTTACCGACTGAAACATCGACTGAATACAACTAAAAACATCGTGATAAGCGTCTCAAATTCTTTCGCTTTTTTGTTTCCGATGAGATGAACCGATAAGACGGATTATATCCGTTGTTGCCAAACACGAGCATATAATATTATTATTGAGACAGGGCGGTACTCAAACTTCTAAAGGGCTATAACTTTGTTACTTTCATTTTACCAGAAAAATGTTAAAGGAAAAAACATTTCTTTTAATCAGATCTACTCACTGTTAAAATAAATGACTCAACTTCGAAGTCACCCTGTATAAAGAAATTTTGTTATTACGATTTTTGAACTGAGTAAGGTTAGTAGTACTGGAAAAAGCTTCCTCTTGTAGATTGCTCCACAATCTGTACACCCTCGGGACAAAGGAGGGGTCATATCGGCCAGTTCTGGGTGAACGAAATTCGACACGGTTAGGATGGGAGGCCAAAGCCCGGTAGGTCTGTATGGCAGGCACATCGCGCGGTGGCATCTTGGAAGAGAGCTCTGACGAGCAAAGCCCTTTGGTGTAGCGGTAGACGAGAGCTAGATTACCGACGGCCCGCCGGTGTGAAAGGGTTCCGAGACTTTCCCTAGACTGTCTGTTAGAGAAGAATCATCGATCCTCTGGACAGCATCGAGCATAAATAATGTAGTCGGAGCGGTACCACCCCAATACTCGAGGCTAGGTCTTATCCGGGCCTTGTATAGAGTGAGAAGGTCATGTGGAGAAAAGTACTTCTCAGCCCTAAAGAAATAGCCTAGCCCAGCAGCTGCCGCTATTGACGCGATATGTTCGGTGATCTGGACTCCGATCAGCCGAAATGAACGGCTCTTAGTCAGAACCCGGCCATCAATCGAAACCGGATGAGGCGCTAGGACGCTTTTTGTTCGTCAGTACGGTGCTGTGTTTTGGAAGCATTAAGCTGGACAAGATCGCTGCGTCCCCAAGCAGTGATAACCTCCAGGTATCTCGTCAGAGAGGAAGTCGTCGCTGATCTTTTTTCCAGCTCAGCTGCAGAGATTGGCTTGTCACTCTGAATTCCTGCATGTAGAGTGTTGTCATCAGCGAAACTGTGGATTGGGTTGATTATACAGGAAAGGAGGTCGTTGATATGCAAAAAGAACCATGTCGGAGCCAAGGCCAATCTCTTGTGAACACCCGCGTTGACCTTGCGGGATGAAGAGGAGATCCCGTCAATCACGACGGATACCTTGCGGCCAGAGAGAAAGTCAGCCAGCCATCTGTGAGTCTTTCTGTGAGGTCATGGGATATAAGTTTGCATAAGAGCGCAGCGCGCCACAGCTTACTGAACGCTTTTGTGATATCAAGGCCAACGTCATAAGCCTCACCGTAATACTGAATTAGCTTACTCCACAATTGCGTGACGTAAGCTAGGAGGTCCCCTGTGGATCGCTGGTGTCGGAAACCATACTGCCTGTCGCTAATCAAGCCGAGACATTCGAGGTAGTCCAGAAGCTCGCGATTTCTGCACATCTCATCACCTTACTTATAACAGAAAGCAGAGCTATAGGCCTGTAGTTGTAAGGGTCGGTTTTAGATCCTTTTTTTTGGGATGGGTTGGACATGAGCAAACTTACAGTTTTAAGAGACGCGAAAGAACTGGAGCAAGCGGCGCTGCACACCTCTTCAGTACAATCTTTGTTGGGGGACGTCCATGGTGGAGTTGGCCGCAAAAATCTTGGCAAGCACTTCAGCCTTGGCCTTCGAGTCAGCTACAATCGTTCCATCCTGACACGTAGGTGGTGGAAGGCTACTGTGTGACAAGTTCTTTTCAATCTGCTTGGCCAGCGTCCAGAAAGACCGACTGCCGTTTGGCTGCGACATTACCTTGCCAAATCAAACATATCATTCATCATTTTCAAAGAAATTGTTTTTTTTTTTTTTATATCGAAACAGCCGCGCAGGCAGAAGCCTAAATGCCGGAACACCGCGGCTGCTATGATGATCCCAAAGAAATTTTGTTAATACGATTTTTGAACTGCCTAAGGTTAGTAGAACTGGGAAAAGCTTCCTCCCGTACTTTGTTCCACAATCTAGACACCCTGTACAAAATCTTCAAATTTGTGAAGGTAGCGAGTTTGACTTAATACGTTGTTACCAGACGTGCCCAAATCATCAGTTGCTGCCGTGATATTCATCCCGACCACTGCATCCCCACGGCTAGGCGACCTGTATGTTAAATTTGTGTTGATAGGGCAGCAGGCTATATAAGAGCTTTCTTATATTTGTTCATCAATTTGATGATACAATACATTTGCCAAAAATGATCATAATCGGGATAGTAAACTATGACGAAGGTCCACTGTATGTAAGAATTTTCAGATACTTCATTTACAATTTGACAACAGACCATGATGGTGTTCACACTTTTCAAATATTCTTCAAGAAGTGTTATCAGTCAACTATCATAAGTACTATGTTTGTGTTCCTACTTTAAATTCAAAACCAGCAAATGTAAAACATTCATTTCGCACCCTCCACCACTGGACGTGATCGTCGTTAGACTTGGCAATGGCAGATAGATATCGCCGCCAGTCAAAAAGGCAATCAAACAATAAACATTATTAGTTTTTATGATTTTTGGACTTAAAAGACATTATTTGTGAGAAATTTTTCATCATCTTTTGTCTATATTATCTGTGTTTTAGGATGGAGAGGGCACTGTTTTTATTGCTTTGAAGAAATTCATTAACCCGTGAATTAATAAATGATTACTATTATGATGTAAAGGAAGATGAGGAATTGGTTGGAATGTATTTTATATTCTATTTTCTTGCAAAATACAGACACATCCACACTACTCAACAGGTATGTAGCTATAATAACATATAAACACTCAGAATATTGAACTTAACAAATTCGAGATTGCCATGCATTAACAAACGTCCAAACCTGCTGAAAAATTTAACAGCTAGAAAATCGACCTATTATTTGTCGCATTCTCATTGGGCTTTGGGGATAACTGATAGTCAAATGTAAATTTATAACAGAAATCAAAATACATTAAAGTTGTTCTGCTTTCTCTGTACAGAAGCATCATGTTGGAATCAAAAAGTGGTCTTGTTTATAATACAGTCGAATTTTCACGATTTTATTCAATATCTCAATAGAAATCACTGATATTCAGAGAGCTTTGACAGCTTGCGTCAAATTGCATTTCAATAAGGTCTTTTCCTATTGGTCCAAACTGATTAACGATGGTGAAATTGGCCCTAAAACTAATATTATCATATAGAGTAAAAAAAGTTTTGTTGGATATAGAAAAATATTTGGTGATTTTGATCTTTGTCGTCGATATCTTCATTCTGCTCGTCAAAAAACACTGAAAAAGAACTAATATCACTATTCATTCCGTTTCAAATGAGTATTCGAATTGTAAGAGAAACTGATTAGGGTACACAGGAGAACTACACATATTTCACATTTTTCTAAATAATTGCGTTTTGAGGTTTATCATGCTCGACGAAATGTCAGTAAAGCCATTTACCAAACATCTGCGGTTTTATTTAAGGTATGCTTACATTTAAACAAGTTGCAAGCATATCTTGCGCAGCTTGTTTAAGTGGAAAGGCATCTTGTCTGGTACATTTCCGGAAGCATTCTCAGATCCTCAGTAAATCGTCAGACATCTGACAATACCTGCTACCTGACATTTTTGGCCAATTTGAGGTATATGCACAATTTTTCTTCGTCTACCTACAGCGCACATTGTGATAGAGTCCGCTAGCTGCAGAAAAATTTAGTTTTTGAATTATTCAGCCCAAACAATACCGTCTGTCAATGAGCGGCAATTCCAGCTATCTGACAATTACGCGTGCTATTTTTCTTAACTTTGCAATCAAACACGACGTTGTGATTTCTCCGAAATATCTCACCAAAGGATACACACCCAAATGGAATGTGACTCTGTCCACAGTTGCATTTAAAGAAAACTGAGAAATAGAGTTATTGGATTACCAAATGTCTGTGTTAAGGCGTCAAAAGAAGCTAGGACAAAACCAGAGCCATATAAGGTGATCCAATTGACTTCTTCAAGGACTACTCTCGAACAGAGGTGCAGCGTTACTCAACAATTAGACCAGGCAGGGACAATTTAGTCACGGACATCAAAGTACTATATTATAATCCCGATGGAAAAATTGAAGTGAAACTAGACTTCAGTGTAGAGCCTATGATACCAAAACAGCTACCCGTCATTTCAGATTATAAGTGTTATATCTAAGGACTGTCACATGTTTTACGACAATTTGCCATATGTCAAGGAAAGAAGCTTAACGTTCATTTAAGGTGTAACTGAGAATACATGCTATTATCTTTTTGATTTGTAACAGCATTAAAGTTTTCATTTGATATAATGAATAACAGCTTTTCTAACACGAATCTCACTAAATCCATCTATGAATCATAGTACAATATCTGCTAACTGCAAAGAAAGGTGTCAGAAATATCAGCTATCTGTACTAATTTTGTCCATTAGAGCTTCACTTAGATAAAAATGAATTAAATATGTGTTAAACGTCATTTATTTTTTGTGACCACATTTGTAGAGTCTTAAGGCCGGTAGTATAAAATTTATAAGGTTTTTTTAGTCCCCTGTAAAATTACGGTTCCTGCATATAGCAGGTATTGTCACATGTCCGACGAAATGTGAACAGTCTGCAGCATATTGCAGAACACGTTGGCACATTTTTGTGGTCAGTGCGTGTGCCGCAACATGTTGCAGAATATTCCTATTTCCGGCACATGTGCCGGCGTGTCGTTGTACAGTACATTTTTTGCAAAATGGCGTCAAGTAGATTGACTCATCACTTCATAAAGTATTATGTTCGGTACAAATTGGTCCCTCTGAAAAAAAGTTAACTACTAACACGTATAACAGAACAATTGAAGGAATTAAGTTAGTCAAACACACTCATACAATTAAGATTTGCGTATTCATCTTGTGTTTTTTACAATTTCATAGGTGTTTACGATTTGGTTCTTCAAAATATGCTCTCCATCGCTCTTCAGAAAGTTTTGGAGGTAGTAACGCATTCACGCAAAAGTTATCTCTTGTCGATGGATGGCCCTCCCCCTTCCGTTACGTTAGTTTCTAGAGGGCGCAAAAAATAAACGAATATTTCTGACGTTGTCTTCTATTGTAATAAATTAAAATTGAAATATTTTTATTCCTTGGGATCTCTCCGCTAATCTTTGACCCCTGTATAACTCAGAAAGCACAGGTCGGATTTTGATGGAGTCTTGTCACAAACTTACAGCTGTGCCAAAAACGAGAAAGCCTTGTAGGTTTTGAAAATCGATCCAGTGGCGGCGGAGCTTCGGACAATAAGCGAAAATAATGAAAATCGTTCAAACTTTGTTTATTGAGATTCTTGTAAGAGGTGTTGCGTATTTTATCTTTTATTAAGAACCGTGTAGGAATACTTATAATCCGCGTGTGGATGTACGGGCATTCAAGTCTTCGAAACTCCTTATACCGCCAAGGAGTAAAAGCCTTGCCAAGGTTGCACGTCACCACTCTTTGAAAATTTGTTTATAGTATTTTTATATATTATGATAATATATTGTATATTATATTTTCAAAAATATAGATCACCATAAAGCAAATTAACACATGACCTCAAGCCAAATCATTGACTTCAGCAAATATTTTCAGGTGGAGTACTGATACCTGATTCAACTACCATTTTGTGTAACATCAAAAATAAAAAAGCAAGCATGTATTTTTAAATCATTTATAGAAGATACATTGATCTTGTCATAATGATTAACAGTGGCGCGTTTGGACATTTAGTACGCTAGTCTAAAACAGATTTTACATAATATAAAAAACATGATGGTTACCCTAATCCACTTGCAAGCAGGCTACATTTATAATAAATAATAATAATAAATGGCCTTTATTCGTCACACGATTACAAAATAATTTGTTTAAAAGGAACAGTGACGAAAAGGTGGAGTGTCAGCTGATGCTGTTTTTCAACCCGACCTGGAAAACATTGACACAAACTATAGAGAGAGAGAGAAAAAAAAACTTAGAATATAACACTTATAACAGAGAAAGGAAACAATCAATTACCTGTGGATATGCATAAAGTAAAATTTTAGCCATCCGACTACTTTAAACTCATGCTGGAACTAACTTGTTGACCCTGCTTGGTTCATATTGCAGTCTATTTTATCCTCTTTTCGTATCTTGAGGGATCAGTTGTTCTTCGGTATTTTTATCCTGCTTAGAGATAACTGTCTCAATGATTCCTTCATCCTGATGGTCGTCAATATCGTCATTCTGTAGCTTTTCCCAGGAAAATGCTTCGCCATTGACATAAAGAATATTGTTTTTAATAAACGCAGAATTAGATGCTTCTCGGGCTTTCTTCAGGTGCTGATGAAGTAATTTTCTGTTGGCGTATTCTTCTGGAGTGTAATAGTTATCGACACACAGGTCAACACCTTTAGGAAGTTTTCTTGCCTTCTCCAAAACTTTTTGTTTTACGTTGTAATTAACGAATTCGACGACAAGTGGCCTAGCTCTATTATCAGAATCGGATAGCTTTTTGCCAACACGGAAACAGTCCCTTACGGCACTTGGGGAAGTTTGAAATTCTAATTTTCCTTCGATAGTGCTTAAAGTATCTTCCATAGGCCCCTTATCACCATAGATAACTATGTTATATTTTTTCAGCTTATTCTCTAGATTAAGGATTTTGCTTTTCAATAATGAGTTTTCCTTCTCGATATCTCTATACTTATTATTGATGTTGTTTATTTCTTTTTTGGCTTCATTAACAGTCTCGCTCAAGCTATTAATTTGTCCCTTGAGTTCTTGATTACCCTCCTTGATCAGCTTGTATATGTCCTCGAGGGTTACTCCTGTTGTAACCATTATTCACGTGATTTCTACCACTCTATCTGTATGGTAACTTTATCGTGTGTTCTGTCGCCTAGGGACTGAGATATATGAGTCCCCTATTTCCAAAAGCGGCTAAATCCATATTTACGAAAAATGGTGTGGATGCTGCCATCTCATAGTCAAAGGTTCTAGTAATATACTGTAATACATACTCGTTTCCAAAATGCGGCAAAATCTATATAAATCAGCACACTATTTCAGTCTTATTTTCAAATCCGGCTAAAGCTGATGCGTGTTTTATTACAAAAGTGGCTATATCCTTGGTTTTACCAAAACCGGCTACATCCACTGCTACACCAACTATTATGTTCTTGTTTATGAACAAGACCGGCTAGATCCTGTTGACGTGTATATTATATAGGATTCAATGCGCCACAAGTAGATGTCTGCTCGCAATGCCTTGAATACAGAGAAATGATCAAGAGAGAGAAAGATTTGCAGGTAAAAAACGATTTAATAGTGAAACAATGCATACATAAGCTAAGGGCAAAAGCATTTTATGATAAACTCAGAGGCCAAAGTGATGATCTATTGATTCTGACATTTGACTGCCAAAAAAACTTGTATTACCGAAAATTCCTGATCAAATAAGATATTACAAAGGCAACTGTATCTTTACAACTTTACTGTTGTCATAGGATCATCAAAAGCAAAACTTTTAAAAGAAAATGTTTATATCCATACATGGCTTGAAACAGAATGTCATAAGGGATCGCATGAAATCGCCTCAGCGGTTTATGACTCTTTAAACAAAATCACGATTCCTGAGAATGTGAAAGAGATTAGACTGGTATCAGATGGCTGCACTGGGCAGAACAAAAATAGTATTGTTCTGTCTATGTGCGCTAAATGGATGTTAGAAGCTCCGAGCCATATCGAAAAACTGCAATTGATATTTCCGGTCACTGGCCATTCTTTTTTACCTCCAGATCGAGTTTTCGCCTTGATAGAAAAAAAGATAAAAAAACTTGACACAATAGTCAAGCCTGAAACGTATTATAATATTTTCGAAAACTATGGTACTTTAAAAAAATTGGGACAGGACTGGCATATTCAAAATTGGAAAAAGGAGGCCGCAAATGTCATCAAGTCACCAACCTCACTACATTTACAAATCAAGTCATGTAAGCGGTTGATACTGACTCGTTCTGCAAGTGCTGGTAAGGGGTGAACCAAATTACCAGTCTGATGTGAATAACGCTAAAGGCATCTGCAGAAGGGGGAAGAGGATATCGCTCATGTCCCCAGAAAACGTTTGTATAAATAACTTGAAAATAAATCCCGAAAAACTAAAGAATGTTGATGAACTTTTGACAAAACATTTTGGAACGGCGTGGAAGCAAAAAAATGAAGAATTCGAATTGGAATACTATAAGACTGTTATGAATAATCAACAAAGTTTAACACAAGCAGAAGAAAATGCTGATGATAAAAGTGTGTGCTTTGCTAATACCAAGTGTAGCTTTGAAGCTGATGTTTTATGATTTTTATTTTCGTTTTTAACAAAAAGGACTTTCTACTTCTCAAGTTGAGTTTTAAGTTGATGTACCCAAAACAGTTTACAAGAAAGAATGTATGATTTTCTTTTTTATTCCTTTTTGTTATCTAATGTTAATACATCAGGAAAGAATTTACACAAACTTCGTTTCAATACCGGGTAAATCCTGAGTTCACATTCAAACTCGGGTAGATCCATCCCTACCCCCCCCCCCCCTCCCATACTGACATATAAAACAAAAAATATGTTTTATTTTTCAAAAATCCTTTATTGTGCTACATACATTAATATTACGGTATTACTGACTCACAAACTTACAAATAGTAAGAATTACAGTTTTTCGCCTTTTTCTTAATACCATCAATTTTGGATTTAGCCGCTTTTGGAAATAGGGGACTCATATATTTCGCTGGAACTGTTTTGATAGCTTCTTCAAAAATTTGGCAGGCCGTGGGCGTGACTTATATAAGTGGGGAGTACCATATACGGATTATTCGTACACAAATTTGACCATGCAGAAAAAATAAATTGCGTTTACTCACATATGCTTTGGAATAACCGTGTAATTGTTGTACTAATCCACTGAGGCCACTTAATCACATCATAGTGTCATGAAAGCAATAATTATTATACTTTGGCTAAACCCACACTTTGATGATTTTGTATAAGAGCAGATCCAGCGCAGACTCGCGACCTCGGAATCACCGGATATTCGACATTTGATTTGCGCTTTTTTTTATAAAGTTACTGGGGGCCAGATCTGGTGAATACGGGGGATAGTCTACAAATTCAAAACCTGCTTGGTGTGAGGCAGCAAATCAATTTGACATATTAACCAATTTTTTCTTAGCATAGCCTACTAAGATCACTTGTTCCACTGCAAAGGGGTCAGGGGCGGAGGATAGGGATTAATCTCCGTATTGACATGTAGAAAAATATGATTCATAATAATAAACAGGCTTAGAGAGCTGAAATATGTTTTAAATGTTTTATACATATTTTCAAGATCTCGAGTAACTTAAATAGAGCTGTTGGATACGATAAATAGAAATTAAAATCTAACGGAGAGCTCATGTAAGGTCCAGCTTCAGTAACAGATTATATCGTGATGTTTCACTATTAGCTCTCCTGACAATAACAATAGCTAAACATTTTTTAACCATTTTAATATGACCTCTAATTATTATAAGCCTCGCAACCATTTCAGATAGCGATGAATAGGAGTATGAATCTTTTTGTGACACTTCATCGGACAGAGCTATTTTTCAAAAATAAAATCTAATTCATTTTAGATGTTTTTCAAAATTGCAAACATTCATTTTCTATATGATGTAGAACGCTGACTTACCGATTTTATCATGACGTTTCCCTAGCAGTCTAATATTTTAGTAAAAATGAAAATGAGCAGCTTTTCAATCATCTTTAATACAAAGTACTATACAACATTTGTTTCAGGAAATGATGAGGGCGATCGAAGAAGTAGATGATTCTAAGACATCTCTGGGCAATCTTGGTTACATCTGGATATCAATACCTTAATCAGACAACCGCTGTTTTAGTAACTGAGCTGTATTTCAGGTAAGTTATGTATCTGAAGAATTCAACACACTTTTGAAACTAGCATAAAAAATTCTGGAGCTTCTAACAGATCCTATCGTGAGGTTTTACCTATTAGCCCTTTTGGCAATAGTACTGGTAAGACGTAGGTATAGCAATTATTGCAGATGAACTACTTCTCAAAAATAAAATCATCTCAGATGTTGTGCAAAATTTGGAACATTAATTTTTTACATGATGTAGAAAGCTGACTTACTGATTCTATCATAATGTTTCCGAAGCACTCTGATAAAAATAATAGTGAGGGGCTTTTCAGTCATGTTTAATACAAAATACGTACTATAGAACATCTGTTCCAGAAAATGATGAGGGAGATCGAAGAAGTAGATGCCTCTAAGACATATTTGGGCAATGTTCTATTATATCTGAATATCAATACCTCAATCAGACAGCCGCCGCCGTTTTAGTAGATGAACCATAGGTATTTCACATACGTTATGTACCATTTGACGGAGCTAGTCCCAAAAATATTTCACATATTAAAAACAACGCTACTGAAATTATATTGTTAAATTAGAAACACACTTGGAGAATTCAACACATTTTTGAAACTAACATACAAAACTCAGGAGTGTCTAGTATGTAATAATGTAAACACGGTAACAGATCCAATCGTGACGTTTCACCTAATAGCCCTTTTGACAATAGTATATAGTAGTTAGACAGACAGCAATTATTACAGGTGAATTACTTTTTAGAATTAAAATCTAATTCTAACATTGGATGGAGGCGTTGTGTGCTGCATGAGCATATTCGAGTTGTGAGATGCTTCAAGTGTGCTAGGTATGGGCATATAGCTATTAAGTGTACCAATAATGAAACATGTTTCAAATGCGCGGGTCAACACAAAAGTGATAGTTGTACATCTAATATGGAAAACTGTATTAATTGCATTGAAACAAACAGGATGTTTAAAAAATCTCTAGATACAAACCACGCGGTCACAGATCCAAACTGCTTATGCTATCAAAGAATATTAAACATTGAAAAAAGGAAAACAGAAGAATAACCACTACAGTCTCATCCAATTAGTCAAGTAAATTTATCCAGTCAAACAAAAAAAATCTGCAACAATATATAATATAGATAATCATTATATTACAAATGAACGGGTGCTAGTCAGCATCATACATCAAAATGTGCAATCACTGGGAAATGCTGTTGATCTTATGGACGATATGTTAAATAACCACCAGGAATGTCAAATAGTATGTGTAACAGAGCATTGGAAAACGAGTCAGCAACTACCCTACTTAGTGCTAAAAAATGTTAGTTTGTCATCAGCTTTTTGCAGAGAAGATGGCTTTGGAGGTAGTGAGAAAAGGTGTGCATCAAAGAAGTATAAATGTCAGATGTCAAGTAGCAGAGGAAGGTGTGTTTGAATGTGCAGTGAGTGAATGAAATTGGGTAATATAATCGTTGTGGTGTTAGTTGTGTACCGACCTCCGAGTGGTAACTTTTCAAAGTTTATTAATAAGTTAGAATGTATATTAAATGAGATTTTTGTTTCAAACAGATATTTGTGTGTATCAGGAGACTTCAACACTGAAATATTAATAGAGAATGAAAACAAAAATAACTTATTGACGCTTATGAGCTCATTTAATTTGGAACCAAAAATAAAAGAAAATACAAGAATAACGCATAGTACTGCTAGTTGCATAGATAATATGTTCACAAATTTCGAAATTGAAAGTGCATCTGTTCTTTGCACTCATATTTCCGATCACACTACTCAGAAAATCAATTTATTTGCGGTCCCAGATACAACGTCAAATTACACGTATAAAAGAATTTTTTCAGAAGATAACAAACAATACTTTCTTGAATGTATAAAAAATGAGGATTGGATTGAGCTGGTGCAGGATATTGGAAATGTAAATGAGCAATGGATTGTATTCATGAATAATTTCATAGGTATATTTAATCAGTGTTTTCCTTTGAAACGATTTAGTGATAAGAGTCGTGTGAGGAAACATGAGCGTAATGAAGTGATTACAGAGTGCAAACATAGACTGGATATTCTGTTGACCCTATGTAGAGTAGATGGTGATTATAAGAAAATGTACAAGAACACAAAAAAAGAATATGATTGTTTGTTGCAGAAGGCCAAATCAGAAAAATACGATCAGAAAATCAGAAATTCGGACAATAAAAGTAAATCTATGTGGGCGATATATCATGAAATCACAGGTCAAAACAATCATAAAGACATTCATAGCAAAGGAGATCCAAATCTAATACCACAGCGTATAATGAATATTTGTTATCAGCAATTCCGCTTTTACTGAAAGATGTGACACAGGTAACTTTTGACTGCAATTTACAAGAAAACAACTAATCATTATACTTAAGACTGACTGTTGATGAAGTGTGTGAACTATCGAGGAGGATAAAAAATAAATTCAGCTGTGGTATAGATGATGTTCCAACAACAATAGTAAAACTTTCCATTCCAGTTTTAAAACATGTTTTGTGCTTACTTATTAATAATGCTTTTAGACAAGGATCATTCCCAGAGAATTTGAAAATAGCTGTTATAAAACCAATTTTTAAAAAAGGTAATCCAGAGCAACTGGAAAATTATAGGCCAATCAATATTTTAACAGGTTTTTCAAAATTATTTGAGTTAGGCATCAGTAAGACATTATTAGAATTCATGGATGACTGTAATTTATTTAATACACATCAGCATGGTTACCTACATGGGCGAACAACAGATACTGCAATCTTTCAATTTGTTCAAACAGTACTTAAGCAATTAGAGGAGGGAAACTTAGCGGTTGGTTTCTACCTGGACTTGTTCAAAGCTTATGATTGCATCAACAGAGACATATTGTTATTAAAGCTACAAAGATATGGTGTGAGAGGAACTGCGCTAGAATTGTTCAAGTCATACCTCTATAATAGACAACAGAGGGTTGAAATTGTTAAAGGAGGTCAAACTTACAAGTCAAACATTGAGTTGACTTCAACCGGCATAGCACAGGGTAGTATACTTGGGCCCATTTTGTTTGTAGTTTTTTTAAACGATCTCTGCTTTGTTACTAGTGGTGATCATAGCAAGGATAAAATTATCTGCTATGCTGATGACACAAATTTAGTTTTGGGTGGGACAAGTGTAGAGGACCTAACTGCTAATGGAAATCTCTTATTCAGAAGTGTGAATACATGGTTTTCTGGGAAAAAACTAGTGCTGAATAAATCCAAAACTGATGCAACATTATTTAGAACTAAGCAGAGTAAAGTCGTTAAGCCACAATATATCGATATAGATGATCATCAACAGCAGTTGAGTGAAAGTGTAAAATTCTTAGGCATCTATATTGATGAATTTTTAGATTGGACAACACATGTATTCGAACTGCTGAAGAGGCTCAATTCTATTTGCTATGGTTTTAGGGTGATATCAAGATATCTAAATAATACGAGTATGAAAATATTGTACCATGCTAATTTTGAAAGTGTTCTAAAGTATGGGATTATTTTTTGGGGACGCAATAGGTTTATTCAAAAAAAATTTGTTGTTCAAAAAAGAGCAGTACGTCTGCTAAAGGGACTAAATTTTAATGAAACTTGCAGGGGGGTGTTGAAAACTGAAAAAATCATGACTGTGTATGCCATCTATGTGTATGAGTGTCTTATATTTTTTTCGAAAATAAAAATTTATTTGAGGTTGAGGTGATACTCGAACAGTCAATGTTACTTATTCAATACACAGATTATCCTCCACAGAAAAAAGCCCTATTTACATGTGTTTAAATTTTTTTAACAATCTACCAAATGAAATTAAAGACATAAACAGTTTACATAAATTTAAAAAGACTATTAAGCAATTTCTAGTACAGATAGAGCCTTATATAATAGATGAGTTCTATGGGAGTTGTAATAGTATAAGATAGTAGCTGTTTTAAGATAAATAACCATGTAACACAAAAAAAAGGTAAACTACTATAGTTATAGTGATCGTGACGCAAAATTTCATTTTGTAGTGGCTATACAATTTTTGTAATGTCATTGTACAATTTGGAATATAGATTATTATTATTATTATTATTATTATTATTATTATTATTATTATTATTTTTTATAGCCGTAGGGCTTTGTTACTCCCGTTAATCGGGGTGTTGTGGCTTAACCCGGACGTTTCAAGCATCAAAGGGGTAAGCCTCAATAGTGACCTCCCTAGGTACTTGCATTTCCCATAAATTTTCTTACTATGCGGGCAGTTGCCAGCAAAACTCCTTTCTGTATGATTTTGTAAATGTTTTCACTCAGTTCCAGCGCTTTGATGTTTTCTAGCAGCCTTCTTGGTATCACCCCTGTAGATGACATTATTATTGGTATTGTTTCCACGTACTTCATTTTCCACTGGCGTTTAATTTGAAATTCTAGCTCCCTGTATTTTGCAACTTTCTCATTATGCTTGTATGTTAAATTGTTACTATTAGGTATGGCCACATCAATCAGAGTTACTTTCTGGGCGCCCTTGTCGACAATGATTATGTCAGGTCTGTTTTGTTTTATGTATTGGTCCGTAAGCACAGTGCGATCCCAGTATAGTTTATACTTGTCGTTCTCGAGGACACATTGCGGTGTATATTTGTAGTACTGTAGCTTGCATTCGATCAGTTTGAATTTGTATGCCAACTCCTGGTGAATGATTTTGGCAGCTATGTCGTGGCGCTCCTTATAGTCCGTTGGAGCGAATGCTTGGCATCCACCAGTTACGTGCTGTATTGTTTCGGAGTCCTGACAGCCGTACCTGCATTTATCAGACTGTTGCAAGTTCTTAAGTATGAACCTCTTGTAATTGTTGGTAGGGATGACCTGATCCTGTATAGCTACAAGGAATCCCTCAGTCTCAGGGAACATTTGGCCTGAGGTAAGCCAATAGTTTGACGCTTTCTTGTCAACGTTTTCTTGGCTAATCTCGTTGGCATGTCTTCCATGTAGAGGTTTTTCAATCCATCGTTGTAGCTTCTGTTCGTTGGTTTGGTGACTCGGTTGGTCATCTCGTCTACTAAGGTGTAAGGGCGTTGTGTCATCTATTGAGCATATGATGCGATGCAGCTCAGAGATCTCGGCCTTCTCAAAGAAGTAGGATCGCAAGGCGAGTACCTGTTGAGCTAGCTGCTTGCTGATGTCCATTAGACCTCTTCCTCCTAACTGTCGGGGTAAGGTTGTGCGCTCTATTGCACTGCGAGGATGGTGCGCTCCTTTTTTTTTTAGCATAGTCCTTACCCGCCTCTCTAGTTTCTCGATGTCAGTTTTACTCCACAGAACTATACCGAACGAGTAGTTCAAGGCAGAGCATGCGTAGGTGTTAATCGCCTTGACTAGATTCTTACTATTGAGTTCTGTTTTCAGAAGTAGCCGTATTCTTTTTGTGAAGGACTGCGATATAGCTTCCTTCATTTTTTTATGGTCTATCCTTCGGGCCTGCGCCATTCCAAGGTACTTGTATGTGTCATTTGCGTCCATTGCGTCAATGTTTTGGCCTCTGCAGCTTGAAAATCCTCCAGGGTAGATGTTCCCCCTACGTATAGATAAGGTTTTGCATTTATCCATCCCAAATCGCATACTTATGTCATCTGAGAACTGACCGACTATCTCTAGCAGCTGTTTCATTTGATTCTCAGTAGCAGCTATTACCTTTAGGTCGTCCATATACAGCAAGTGGTTCAGTTTTATGGATGCGTTCCTGTTACCTTTCAGACTATATCCATACCCTGTTGCATTTAAGAGGTTTGAGAGGGGATTTATAGCTAGGCAAAACCATAGGGGACTTAATGAATCACCCTGAAAGAGACCTCTTCGGATAGAGATCGTCTCAGTTTGAATGGTGCTGGTCCCGTTTGTATGCAGTGTTATTCTGGTTCTCCAGGTCTTCAGCATATGTTCTAATAGGGCCACTACATGCTCATCTACCTTATAGAGCCTCAACACCCTGACAAGCCACTCATGAGGTACAGAATCGTATGCCTTCTGATAGTCGATGTACGTAATGTATAGGTTCCTTTTGTTGGTATAGGCTTGGTTACAGATGACTGAATCGATAGCCAGCTGTTCTTTGCATCCCATAGCTCCCTTAGCACACCCTTTTTGTTTTTATTATTATTATTATTATTATTATTATTATTATTATTATTATTATTATTATTATTATTATTATTATTATTATAAGGCTGACTTACTGATTCTATCATGACGTCTCCTTAGCACTCTGGTAAAAATAATAATGAGGAGCTTTTCAATCATCTTTAATATAAAACACTATATAACATTTGTTTCAGAAAATGATGAGGGAGATCGAAGAAGCAGATGCATCTAAGACGTCTTTGGGCAATGTTATGCTATATCTGAATATCAACACCTTAATCAGACAACTGCTGTTTTAGTAACAGAATTCTATTCAAGGTAAGTTATGTAGGTACCATTTCAGGGAAACTTAAACAAAAAATCTATACCTGTACACTAAAACCAAGTCCAAGATAGAGTTGATGTAAACATAGTCATGCACTGCGCACGCGTATCTCGAAGGCTGACGGTTTGTACAGAGTCGTTTTCAGCACCTTTTTGCGATGATTCAATGATTCCAAACGATTTATCGATTGCGGATGCTATATCTTAGAAAAAAATCTTCATGGTTGCGACTGAAGTGAAATATGGCAGATCTATAACAAAATGTGGCCACTATGTGCACTTTAACCCTTTGACGCCGGATTTAATTTTTTTTCGAATTTGCGAATCTTTTTCTTTTAATATGGGTAAATGTGAACAATATGTTATAACTTTACACATTTTATTTATTTTTTTAATCCTGAAATGCTTTAGAATATGGTTTCATTATGAAACCACTAGGTAGTAAAAGGAACTAATGATTTTTTTAAACAAAAATTTTATTTCAAGTAATAAAAGAAGACAAATCCGATATTTTCCATTTATCGTATGTGATACGGAAGGAAACAATTTTTATTTGCGTTGAGGCATAATCCAACGTTGCATCTGAAAAAAAAGTTTTTGCTAAAACTAAAAAGAAGATGAAGCATTACTTTCTTTACCTGGAACAAATCCATTTTGTCCGTTGTGGTGATGATGTAGAGCTGCAATAAGCACATCTTCTTGAACTTCCATGGATTGGCATCTGTGCACAAGAATCATACCGAATTTCCTGAGGCACATTGGCTTTGAAGGTATTTTGTTGCACTGATGATTTCTTTGGAATATTTTCGTCTGCTCCAATAAGTCCCAAGCAAACTGCTAGCTTGAAATCCTTCAATGTCATACATTTGCCGGACTTAGTCGTAGTATTTCGGTTCTTGAAAATTATGTATGCATTCACTAGGGATATGTCAAGTAAATACCAAAAAATGCGCAACCACCACTTTTTAGATTTTCGATCTAATTCATAAATTGACTTCAACATGTCTAGTTTGTCTACATAACCCATGTGCTTATTATACTCCAAAACTAAACGAGGACAAGCAATATCCTGCACATCTTCATTCATGTGTTCATCTGAACTCATCTTTTCTAAGTCGGCAAAATAATATTTCTTGTTCTGATCTGAAAAAAAAACACGGCATGCCTACTGGTTTCATAACGTAACCGAAGGTATTTTTGTATAAAAATATGAGCTAAATTTGGTCAAATTCAATTCCCAAATATTTTACAATCATGATCAACATCATATCATATAAATCATCTATTACTCTCTACTTACCTCCCATTGTTTATCTAACAGCGAAAAATCCCCTATTTATTTTGATCAACCACCTGTTTGCTGCAACAACGCACACTGAACGTTATCATTACGCTAGGAAACCAAATACAACCGACGCAACTGTCAAAGCCTATCAGATGGAGTCTCAAGGGCACGTGACTGTATGAGGTTACGCACCAAGACCATTCGGCGATTAGAAATTAATTCTTATTCAGGTGGTTTCGTCGTGAAACCAGTAGGCGTCAAAGGGTTAAAAGACTTCCATTGGATTTTCCATAAATCATAAACGCCATTTGAAAAGGAATGTAATCATTTTAATTCTACGTACAACTATTAACATTGTTTATCAGAATGTTGAACTTGAACTGTCATCCTCATCACTTGTATCATTCTGGCCAAATTCAATTATCAGTGGTTTCACTTGTCTTTCTAAAATATTATCGAGCTCCCACATCTTTGTCTCGACTTTTGTTATCACATGCCGAACACACTTGTCCGATTTCTCGGCTCCGATTCTGCTTAGGGCTTCATCAAAAAGTACCTTGAGGTCGGAAAATTTATACGTAGTGTTATGTTGTGCCACAAAGTTTTTAACATCCGCCCATACGAGCTCGATGGGAATTAGCTCACAGTGATATGGGGGCAGACGAAGGACTGTTTTGTTATGGCTTGCTGCCATATCATCGACTGCATATTTTTCGTATGCAGCCTTATGCTCTTTGACAATTTTTAATAGCTGGACTCTTAGCATTGAGTCCTCAAAGCTGATATTATTTGCTCGCAACCAATTTTGTATTTCAACTTTTTTCGATGACGTCGCCGGGGTTTTCTCTATTCGTCGAGAATGGTATGGCGCATTGTCCAGTACAATTACTGAGTTGTCTTCCAGGTATGGTAGGACATTAGAAAAAACTTTTCGAAAGATTCCCCGTTCATTTCTTCGTGGTAATCACCTGTTTTCTTTGACTCGAAACACCACAGCCCTTCAGCAACAAACCCATTCTCATTGCCAATATGACAAACAATTAGTATTTTTCCTTTACCTGGAAGTGAGAACTGGTATGTAACTTAATAAAACACCATAGTGATAAAATACACACTTGAAATCGGATTTTTTGAAATTCGGAAGAATAAACTGGCCTCCGTCGAGATTTGAACTCGAGACCTTCTGCTTTACGCGCAGATGCTCTACCACTGAGCTACAGATTCCCGACAGCCCAGATGGCAGAACTTCAATGTAAGATACAAGCTTCTAAGAATCTGGTTCGCCAACAATACGATGTAATTCAGATACAAACATAGCACGCGTAGTTAATTCCGGAAAGAGAAGGCTGTTCAGCCAACAGACAGCCAGACCGACGTAAACTAGTGTCATGAATGTTATTTTAAATTCGGAATTCCTGGTCTATGCGTGGGAAGTAAAATATTGTAGAAACAAAATGATTTCAATTAAATAAAATATACAAGCTAAGAAAAGCTAACGTTTTCTTGAATATATCCTGAAATATCAAATTACTTTGAAAGAGAAAATAATTTAAAGGATGTTCAAGTATCTTTTGTTAAGTTACGATTAAAAGTTTACCTGATGGATTTTTCAAACCGGTGGACAGTCCATCTAGAAATGCCCTCCTAGATGAGGTCACGGTTTCATCGACCCATACCTTAGGAGTAGTATGACCAGCATTAACCCAGGTTTCATCCAAATAATAAATTGTCCTTTTTTGCTCCCTATATTTTTTGATTTTGGTCAAATATTCTCTTCTCCAGATTATGAGTTCTTCCCTATCCAACAGTAAACTATTGCGTCCTCGTTTCTTCCATTTGAAATTTAAATGTTTTAAAAATTACTAAATGTAGACCGCTTGAAACTAGGCAACATAGCATCATTTATTTGTGTGAGTACTTTTTCCACCGTGAGTATTTCATTTCTAAAAAAGTATTAATGCACTTTCCTCCTTATTGCATGTTTATCAGCCTCATCTATCGATTTTATAATGCTTGGGCGATTTTGATTTGTCTTAGGTTTGGAAAATGTATGATTAGCTTTATATTCCCTCAAAATATTAAAAATCGAAGCGCGACATACTCCAACTCTGTCAGCAACTTTCGAAGCGACGTCTTCGACCGAGGATGTTCCATCTTCCTCTATCTCCTTTTTGAACACATTCAAAATAACCTCTTTCATCTCGATACTCAAATGTCTTCTTTTGGATCGTTTTATAACTGGACTCAAGCAACAACTCACAGTCTCGCCAGCAGTATCTGTACTGGACATCTTCGATTACAGATCACAGTAATACATAACAATAGCAAATGATAATAACTATGAAAAATCCAGCAAATACAATAAAAACTTAACAAAAGCAAATGAAAACCGCGAAATGAAGAAATGCTAAACAAGCAGGATGCACGCCAACACGCCACGCAAACGTCTGATTGCGACTCTGTATTAAGGCGGCACCGCGGCCTACCAATGAATTGACCAATGAGCACTGCCATGTCCACCTGTTGCCGGCCGATCACGTGAATATCACGATTGGCGTTTGTTATGTTCAACTCTATGTTGGACTTGGTTTTAGTATAGATACTTTTTACGAATAAAATCTAATTCATTATTTTTTTTTTTTTTTTTTTTTTTGGCTTTAGGACCAAGCCATGCAGCCAGAAACTAGGTTGGTAAAATGTCCAGTGTTCAGATCTACAAGTAATTCTATATATAATTAAGACTGGCACTACCTCATCAAAAGGTGTCAATGAATGTTAAAAAACGGTTTATTTTGAATAAATTATCATAATTGAATCCTAACAATTCTTAATTGTTGTTGTTAACCTAACCTCTCCATAGAAAAACAGAAGACGAAAAGAAGACAAAGGGTAAGGACATGTTTCACGCCAAGGGGTCTATCAAGGCGACTTACACAGAGGAGGACCACGGTAAAGGTAATAATAAAGGTGTTCTACAAAGGATCGGCAGCTAAGACCTAAAAATGAGCTAACACAAACGCTTTAGGTTATGCCGTTATTGTGATGTTAAGAAGGTTTGTCTTGTTTTACAATTGTATGCCAGTCTCACAAATGAAGCTAATTAGTTGATCAAATATATGTTTATCATTTGTTGCTAGCAGGTGCATAATATTATAAGGCTGCGAGACATTTAGTTGGAATAGATTGCTTTTAAGTTTAGCAGATTGCTGTCTGAATTTGGAGCAATTAAAGAACATATGCTCGAGATCTGCGATCTCATTGCAGGTGTCGCACATATTACTATTGACCACTTTGATTTTATATAGGTGAGCCGGGTAGCAGGCATGTCCGAATTTCATTCTAGTTATTGTGGTTATGTATCTACGTGAATATTTAAATGACTCATGCCAAAAATTACTTCTGATTTCAGGTTCCAGTAGAGTGTATCTTGTTGGCATCCGTGTGCAGAAATCATGATACTGATTCTTCCATTTTTGCATGAACAATTTCCTTGTGGTGTTCAATCTGTCATGCAATGTTGGTTGAGAGATAATTTCTTCTCCTTGTGAAACACTTTCTTTAGCTAGTTGATCTGCTCGTTCGTTAAAAGTTATGCCCGTATGGGCCTTAACCCACACCAACACTATCTTTTTGTCTGAATTATATTGTTGGAACTTGGATATTTCTTGCTTAATCCTTATTATATATGAGTGGTAATAGTTAGAATTAA